TTACTATAGATCCTTATACCGTTGTCAAGCAGGACTGAGATCTTGCTTGACAACGGTATAAGGATCTATACCGAAACGTCGCCTTTACAGTTTTAAAGAAGCTGTTATCCATAAATTGTGTCTACTTTGTCGATGTTGTTGTGTTTGCTTGTTGCCTTTACTTTTGAGGACAGCTGGGTTTGATCACAATAATGAAATTGTTCTACACTTACATTGTGTGATTTCAGAACGTGGTTGGGTAATTTTTGGGATATCTCTATTTGAGATATATTGTACGGGCCTGCTTGTTTGGTCAGTGTTTGATAAGCGTAATGAGTTTTTGAATAAAATGCACTGAAAACGTTACTTTTAAGATAGGATTCAATCATTTAACTGATAGTTGCTTAACCCGGATTCGTTCCGGTTATGCAGATGTGTACAATGTGTGCAGCCCAATTCTGTTTTTACCGCCTTAATATGGTTGGAATGTGTATAAAGGCCGCGTAAAACCATACTCACTCACTGTTATCCGCTTGAGGATCCAGAGGCCCTCATAACTCAAAACTGGTCATAAGACGCGATACATGGTAATCGGGTGGTTGCAATACGTTACCTGACTGATAATGTTCCATCGTACGTGGGGCTTTGGTCATGCTATCAATAACTGGTTTGTTGTGCTTGTCTTGCCTTTGCATGAGTTTTCGGGTTGGGCAGGATACGCTTACCATTTCGCAAACACCTGACATCACTATATGATAGTGACTCAAAAACACATGCTCATGATATAGTCGGAATCATACAATGGATTTTGCGCGGGGGGCGAGGGTGTTCTTATGGTTGTGGTAAGGGTTTTTCGCTTTTATATATAACAAATACCGGTCCTTCAAACAGAAATCTCCCAGTTGCCAGTCCACAGGGTGCCAGGTTGTTCTCATGGTTGTGCTAAGGGTTTTTCGCTTTATATACAACAAAGGTCGGTCCTACAAACAGAAATCTCCTAGTTGCCAGTCCACAGGGTGCCATGGTGTTCTTATGGTTGTGGTAAGGGTTTGTCGCTTTTATATACAAAAAAAGGTCGGTCCTATAAACAGAAATCTCCCAGTTGCCAGTCCTCAGGGTGCCATGGTGTTCTTATGGTTGTGGTAAGGGTTTGTCGCTTTTATATACAAAAAAAGGTCGGTCCTACAAACAGAAATCTCCCAGTTGCCAGTCCACAGGGTGCCCGGGTGATCTTATGGTTGTGGTAAGGGTTTGTCGCTTTTATATATAACAAAGGTCGGTCCTACAAACAGAAATCTCCCAGTTGCCAGTCCACAGGGTGCCCGGGTGATCTTATGTTTTGTGGTAAGGGTTTTGTCGCTTTTATTAACAGCAAAGGTCGGTCCTACAAACAGAAATCTCCCAGTTGCCAGTCCGCAAAGTGACCACAGCACTACGACTGTGGCAACTACCAAACTGAAACACAGGAAGATGATAGACCTGGCGCTCAGATCGCTTGGCGGAACGAGTCCCACTGTCATATCTTTGTTTCATTGTACTTTCATCATCGCCGTCGACAGGGATGTATCTTTTGGGGTGATTTACTGATGTTTGGGTAGCTTCAATGTTTCCGATAAGGAGTTTGCTCCTTAACGATAAAGGTTCAGCTACAAGATTATCAAACAAACAGAGTAATCTATTTCAACCGCCGGTTGAATGATCAAAGAACGTTTCCACAATGACGAATATTGTCGAATGTTTATGGCTATTTCTTCTCGTAATTTAGCCATATTGTGATAATTAAAGGTTAAAGTAAAACAAGGAAGATCTCCCGTGTGGACTTTAAAGTCTCGGATAAAACATACTGCTGATTTCTGATATGAAATGTCTCTCCGAGTGAGCAATCAAATGATATTAGTTCTTTTATGAAGGGCCTTTTATATCACAGAAAAACTGGAATGTGCATGCTGCATTAATCATATCCACTTTATTTCTGTTTTATATTAATAATAGTTCTTCGGTTAACGGTAATAATAATAATTACAGTTGTCGATTTGTCTGGCGTTTTTTCCATGCTGGATATCCTGCTTAAAGCGCATAGAGAATTATAACCCATGTGAATGGATCAGTGTGCATTCCATTTTCATTCTCATCTTCCCGGGGAGTATACAACCCAAGCTGCCTCTGATGCAATAGAAGGTTAACGGTCATATTACCATCTCATCCTACTGAATACTTATTCTCTGCTGCTGGTTGAACAGAGGCATATTTCGAACAGTCACCACGTGTGCTACACGTGTTTTTGTATGGAGCAGGACCGAAGACCTAGAAACTCTCAGGAGCCAAGCTGCCGAGCACGTCAACATGGGCAATATGGAATATAGCATATAACCAGAACGTCAGAGAAAAACCAGGAAAAGATTCCATTGGGCGTAAAAGGTCAAATTAGTGGTGAGACCTAAATGAATGGATCATGGAAAGTCAGTGATAACAGCAGGTGTTACAACCACAATAGGATGATTGCATTAACACATCAACTGAAAGTATAATATTATTTTGTATCAGTATGCTATATTTTCAATGCAATTTGTCATCCGGTTAGTAAATCAGAGACTAGAGAATCCAAAAATCATGATTATTTTCAAGACAGTTTTTTTGCACACAGTGAACCACCGGTTTACTTTAATTTAATTTAATTTACACCCGCCTGAATGTTGTTTACCGACACAATCAGGAGCTACTGGTATATGACGTCGGTTCGCGTCTTTAGAATGGGAAAATCCGGGGAAGAATAGGTATTCAGCAATCCATGCTTGCCGTAATAGGCGACTAACGGGATCGGGTGGTCAGGCTCTCTGATTTGCATGTCATCGATCCCAATTGCTCGATATCAATCACTGGATTATCTGGTCCAGACTCGATTATTAACAGACCGCCGTCATATAGCTGGAATATTGCTGAGTGCGGCGTTAAACAACAAACCAACCAGCCAACCAACTGATTTGAATGTGGCAGGTCGTCGAATCCCAATTGCGTGGATCGATGCGCATGAAGTCAATCACTGGATTATCTGCTCCAAACTCGATGATGTACAGACTGCCGTCATATACCTGGAGTGCGGCGTTAAACAACCAAACAAACAAACTTTAGAATGGGTTTGGGGGAAACAACATTTGATACATTTCATCATGTTAAACAATAGAGTTTGTCTTATTGTTGGCCACGCTTGAACTCGTAACATTCTGAACATAGTATCGTAAAAATCAGTAATCCTGTCTTTCGTACAACATCAAAGATAATGTTGAATTCAATTATGCTCATTTTAAACAGAATGGCGTCTCTGTGTCTACTTTGTGCACCAAAGGGATCATTGCAGTAGATGGCCTATACATAGCTAGGTGTTTTGTAACAAAGACTCACTCTAGCAGGCTAAAGCAATTATTTGATCCTCAACGGGAATATGGATTTACTCAAGTTACCAAGAGCAGAATATATATATCATTTACTCATTGGAATCATATATCAAACGCAAAACCCATAAGTTGCTTAATAATCAAGTCACAAATTATGTGCAGTGTTTCAACGCTGTGTCTTGCATGAGGTAACAAGGTTCTGAATACGAGCGGCCAACAATGGGCTGTTACGAAGTCAATGTAGCGATACTTAACGTTATTATTTATATTAATTACCAATGCCGAATGTTATCTTCCTTGGTGTTCGTTGTATTGCTGTGAATTGCCTCCCTCAGGCAAGTCAGAAATCAATGATCGCTGGTTCGAATCCCAGACCAATGTGGTAAACATCTAAGATCACTTCGGCCTTTCCTTCAGTTATTGAAATATTGATCTCTACACTTAGCAAATGTATTATGTTTAACGTTTTAAGACCAAGGTCACTGTTTCTTCACCAACCTCACTCATTTCACATAGTCAACACTGAGATGATAATAATAATAATAATAATAATAATAATAATAATAATAATAATAATGAGAAGAAGAGGAAGAAGAAAATCCATGTATGAAGCGCCTGATTACCAGCTATCTGGTCAACGGCGCTAGAACATATATTACTCTGGTCAATGCACGCAAATTTCATTCTCAGCTCCCTTGGACGTATATAGTCAAAAATGCCTATGATGAGTTGATTACATTACCATCTCATCCTATCGGTGCCCTTCCTCCTGGGTCAACAGAGGTATATTACGAAATATGTGTAAACATTTGAATATCTTCACAAGGCTCCTTCTTGGTGTTGAAATTGCCAAATCAATCATGAACAGTATTTATCAACCATACTACACCCTCCATCATAAACAAGCATTTATAAAGGAGTTTATCATTGTTACATAACGGAAATCATATCATATCTCAATTTCAGTTTTATTCAAATATGCCTCGATTAGTTTACTCCTCATCCGTTTGAGACATTTAGCCTCCAAAGTACTTTACACGGTGAGTGCAACACGAACAATAATTGAGAACGACAATCCCTAAAAATCTACTCGTGCAATCGAAAATCTAAATGGGTTTATGAACTAAGTAAATATTTATCTTTTTAGAATAAACACATAGGGTATGCCTAGCGACTCGATTCTGTGCACGTTCATCTCAATTAATGTAACAGAGGGTATTGATTAAGCTGAAGATGGTGAAATTGCATGTAATCACCCGACCCTCGTCACCACCATAGCAGTCACGCTCCGATTTGTTTGCACTCGAGTTTAATCACCGTGTGCTTGTTTGGTACAAGCAACGTTAGGACAACCACATCAGGACGTTTAGAAACTCCTTCATAAAGCAGTGTCATGAGGTTTGATCTTTCAGAATGTAAGGACTGTTAACCAACTGCCGAAAAAACGCCTCCAAGAGCTTCATAAAAAGGTGATGAAGCGGTTGGCATCATGTTGTAGATAACATACCATTCCATCGATCTATTTTTCGCTCATCTGTTGAGCGTTTAACCCCACATTCAAAGTTGCGATGCGATTGCCAACATGCGGCCTTTATCACAGCAATCAATACAGAGAAGGCGTATAGAAATTAACTTTATGAGCGAGTGCCAAAAGTGAGCTCGGACGCAGAGCATCCTTCGCCACCAAAACTCCAACGTGCTTGCGTTTGTTTAATCATTTATGAATATATGTCACATGGGCATACTTCGGAACATTTCCTGATTTCGGATGGTTTCCTTCTCTTGACAAAATGTAATTTATCTGCTGTGCGTTTATTTCATTATATATCAAGCTTACGACAGCGGTGTCACTGAACACCGTATGAGAAAATCAGTACCGAATCGTGTTGGAGACCTGGCTAAACGTGTGCAGTACTGATTAGGTGGCTCAGTCCAGAATGCCACAATGTTAATATTTGCACACAATTTTCTGCTGTTTGACTTGGAACCGCTGGCTCCTTTCACCCAATCGGCGTCCCATCACTGGCGAGTTCTGCTCATTGAACTTGGGAACTGACATAATCTAGACGGGACCTTGCAGCATTTTGGGCAGCTTTGTACAAGTTCTACAAATATCCAATTACTTCCTTCATCCAAGCTATCTCGATGGTGCATGTATGGATATTCGTACTCATCTTCATATTTGGTATCATTCCCGAGGGCCACAATTCATCACAGAAAGTACCTATTGGTAAGTACACTGTCCTTTCCTTATATACTTCCTTGCAGAGCAGGACAGGCTTACCCTGTTCGCGAACACCAGGTGTCATCACTGATTTTCTATGATCCATTCATATAACTGTCACCACTGTTTTGTCTTTTACACCCAATGGGATCTGTTTCGGCAGATAATCGAGACTGATCATTCTCTACCTTGACGTTTTATATGGTGTATGCTCTTCCGTTTCTTCACCTCAACATTTTATGGTATATACTAGTAATGCTTATTATGTATAGTCTGGCTGTCGTACCCGGGACAAATGTGTATCATTATATCATCTACATGCATATTATGTTCATATCGTTTTAATATAGCGGTTCTGTATTAATTATATGCATGTCAACATGCCATGTACGATACAGTCACTTAACCTTCGTCCGAATTAACTAAGGACCATCATTTCCTGCTCATGTCGATGTACATAACAGTTATATATTGAATAGTGTACACAGATTAACAGTGTATGATACACAGGAACAAGAATACCTTCGTCCGAATTAACTAAGAACCATCAGTTCCTGCTCATGTCGATGTACATAACAGTTATATATTGAATAGTATACAGAGATTAACAGTGTATGATAAAAAAGAACAAGAATATCTTCGTCCGAATTAACTAAGGACCATCATTTCCTGCTCATATCGATGTACATAACAGTTATATATTGAATAGTATACAGAGATTAACAGTATAGATAAATAGGAACAAGAATACCTTCGTCCGAATTAACTAAGGACCATCATTTCCTGCTCATATCGATGTACATAACAGTTATATATTGATTAGTGTACAGAGATTAACAGTGTATGATAAATAGGAACAAGAATACCTTCGTCCAAATTAATCATTTCCTGCTTATATCGATGTACATAACAATTATATATTGAATAGTGTACAGAGATAAACAGTGTATGATCCTTCGTAAGGATTAAATAACAAAATTCATGGTATGCCCATTGATTGATCTAGAGGTTATATATTAAATATTATATAGAAGTTAACAATCAATGTATGATAAATATGAATCAGATTACCTTCGTCATTTTTAACAATGAAAACGAATGGTATGCCAATACTGGTTTACTCGGGAGGTTCTATATTGCATAACCTGAGGTTAGCATTCATTGTAGGATGAATAAGAATGAGATTTCCTTCGTCAGGATTAACTATGAAAACTGCATAGTATGCCCATGATATTGACGTTCGCTGTAGACACCTATGTCTCTCTTTACTCACTTCAATGTTCAAATGACGATGATGCAGGACTATTTTGTCATGATGCAGTATCAAGCGTTTTATTAATTGTTTTGTTGCCATTATATTGTTTTATTGCCGTATTGTATTACTCCCATACATTTCAAACCAGTTGAATGATATTGATATTGATACTGACGCATTTAATTATCCATTGAGCGGTGTATGGTATTCGTGATAGAACTTGTGTATAATTAATGGTATTATTGACAGCTTGAATTTACTTCAATACTTGCTTTTGTCTATTAGTACTGAATTATCCAATATTGGGTGTTTATGTACTGATGGAACCCTTTTTGGGTGTAAAATGAATCATTTCTGTAAATGGTTAATGTTTTATTGTAATATTGACATACATAAAAGTGACCTACCAAAAAATGGTAACATGACATCTCTTTGTCCATTGTAGAATTCTGACTGTACCATGAACAGAATAGTGTTCAAGTAGTGATGATACCAGGTGTTCGCCAACATATACTGTCCAAACGGTGACACCCGTGCCAAACACATGCATGAACACATAGAAAAGTAGAAAAGACACAGACAGAGTATTGTAAACATTTGATTTGATTTCTTGTTTAGGTATTCTCTGTTTTTCCCTACAATTAACTACTTGTATATGAACACTATGCGTTTGATGAACCCATATCAACTGTTAGTTACCTCCATAGCAAACGAACCTTCATTAATGCATAGTGGCTTATACTTTCCTCTTAGGTTTGTGTGTGTGTGTGTGTGTGTGTGTGTGTGTGTGTGTGTGTGTGTGTGTGTGTGTGTTAGTGTGTGTGTTAGACTGATATCCACATGATTGAGTATGTGAGTAAAGTTCGATATTTATATTAAATATAATATAAAAAATAATTTATATAAATATTCGAGCCATATCAGAAAGGAAAAGAAACCAGAAATGGGCTTCACACATTTTACTCATGTGGGCAGACGAACCATGGTCCTCGACTTGACGAACCAACGCTTTAACCACTGGGAATACCCTAACGTCCCTATGTCCAAACTAGAAACGAACCTAAATTCATCGTCTTTGAGAACAATATTGAACACAACATGATCACGCCATGATCCTAATCATTTATTCACCATCATGATAGCGCGCCTTAAGGGTTAACTCGTGGATATATTTACTGTTTAATAAATATGGAGATAGTCAATACATCAATATCCTGCCGAACAGTGTCATACCATCACTCAAATGGTGATGTCTATGTTACCATACTATTAGAAAGAAGCATTGTGAGACGCATATGCAAACACTTACTGGGGTCCATGGATGATACCAGTTACTCATTTTGGGGGTCAACTATTTATATTCATGGTGAGATAAGGTAGCCGAGTGGTCAATGTGTCATCTTGTCACGCATATGACTCTGGTTTGATTCTCCCAATGTATGCAATATGGAACATTTCGCTTACTTATCAGATATGTTTTGAACATATCAGCGACAGAAGTGACTCAGTTGCCACTGATCAGAGGAGGACACATTATTGTGTTACTGCAAGAAAATAAGTAGAAAAAACGTCAGTGCAGACTGACAAACGCCATTGCAGATACCGTTGATTCAACACAGAAACATTTATTGTATGCAACCACACACGCACACGCTCCACACACACACACACACACACACACACACACACACACACACACACACACACACACACACACACACACACACACATTCATTCATACAAACATACATACATACATTACAGACATCTTTGTGGGGACCCGGTTAAGAACAGATCACATCTCATGATCTATGTTTGGTTCTGTTTGGCGTAAATGGCAAATACACTGGACGGTCCAGTCGTCTAAGGCGCCGCGATTCGCGTCCCTTGGGCACGCAAGACACCTATGATTGTGGGTTCGAATCCCGGTTCGCCCTGATTATGTTTCTAGGTTTGCCAGCACAATACCCGTGCTCGTGGGTTTCACCGAAGTGGTAAACGTACGAGACCTGCATCACTTCGGGCTTTCCTCCCATAGTAAGCTGACACACCGTGATATAACTTGAATAATGTTAAAAGCGGCGTTTAACCCAACTCACTCACTTGATTGTAGAAGGTTGATCATAATATGTATAAACATTCTGTTCATTTGTTATATGTCAGCTCTAACTGATCATTCCAGAACAACCAGAAAATGACAGTGTTTGACCGAGGTTTACAACTCTACACATAATCATATACAAGCGACAAATCCTTTCCATAATCATAAGAAGTATCTGCGAAAAGCACAGCCCATTGTGCAATACCGACTATATCATATAAAGCATGTGTGTATGAATCACTATCAAATAGGTATGATACCAGGTGTTCACGAAAAGGGCAGCTTATCCTGCCCCACCGTTGGCACACGTCACAAACACATGCAAAGGCTGACAAAACATGGGAACATATGGTCCAAGTCCAAATAGGGATTTGCATCGGAAAACATGTTTGTCACTGTTGGATGTGGCATGACTCCAAATGCCTACAAAACAACTTTTTGAAAGTTTTACTGAGACCTGAAATTGAAACCCTCATCATACAACTTTTGACAAAGAGTCGTTAATCGTTGCCTGAAATCTTCATAGAGAAGGCATGCTCAATTGAAACTCGAGTGTAGACACAGCAAAGGCTCGATCTGCTCGAAAATTGCTCGACATAAAGGGAAAGATGACATACATATACGTGACTAATGACAGAATAATAGCCTGACGAATCAATGGCACACAATGACACATTTACGAGAGTGAGAAAGAGGAATGTGGAGGTTGTAATGTTTGGGTCTTCATAATGTACACAGTTATAATTTGATTTGCTTGTAGATTTCGTTATCCAGCGGGTCATAGGCACAAGGGAAATTAAGGCCAGGTTGGGGTTTGGTGGGGTGTTAATTCTAACCCCATATTATCGACATGATTGATAATCTGAACATGTAAATGACCTGCTATGTGCACATGTGATTGTATTCCGTTGTTGATTGGCCATTGGTCTACAAAATAGACATTCAGAAAACCATTTCCATCATTTCAAAAACAAGGTATTACTTCAAAGGGTATATTCTAGCTAGTACTGACAGACGCAATGCTATGTTGAGAAGCTCTGTACACTTTTCAATAGCACCTTTTCAGTCATGATCTCAGAGTTTCTCCTGACCTCATGCTACTTGTTGAATAAGGAAGGCTGTCTTTTTAGTAAACAAAGATGACTAAAATGAAAAGTTTAAAATCTTCTCCAAATGAATTCGATCTAACCTATAATAACACACAAACAAAAACCTGGTGAACTTACACCTTCACTAAAACCAGTCACTCCGTCGGTTGGATACAACCAAGGCTGACTCAAACAGAGTCATTAAACACAGCCAGAAGGCGTGAACCAAGGCGAGAGCTTTGTCTTTAGCAACCAAGGCGTGAAAAACTGGAGTACACGATAAAAGAAATTTTCCTCTCCACCACTTGCAACAGTTCGGGACATATCTGGTGAGATGGTGTTTTGAAAACACACGCTCTTGGGACTATATAATCTTCTTAGGGGTCCATTCGACAATGAATTATTCAGGATTGAATCTAGAAGTCTGGTTTGCTTCGTTACGAGCGATTTGACCTTGATATCAGGATCTGCCACCAAGTACCACCTCTGGAACAGGCTAATTGTCAAACCTCAATGGTATTTTAATTTAGTTTTAAAATGTAGTTTCATGTATAGACATTTT